TCGTGGTAATGGGCACCCATGGTGGACAGTGTTGGCTGGAGCTTCCCGACTAAATCAAGCCTGAAAGCAGGAGCGGCATCCACTTCCAAAATGGCTTGCCTTTGAAACTCAATGTACGAACAGTGCTCAGGCTGTTCGTTCATAGGGTCGCTATGAGTTGTCTACGACTTGACAGCATTAAACAACACAACAACAACAACAGGTGGTGTCAGCGGTCAACATGCTTAGCTACTAAGTCAAAGGTTAAGGTTGAGACGCACTCAAGTGCCTCACAAGAAAGGCCTAGCAAACATATTATTGACAATCCCATGGCGCACAGTTCCACTCTGGCACACATGGGGATGCTGCTGAGTATGAGCTGGATTGCAGGCTTATGTGGCATTCATGCTCCCAGCATGTCACCACTCAACAGTTCTTGCCTTTTCAAATTCTTGCCAGGCTTTCTGGGGATGGCTGGATTTGATACTGCCTTCTCAAATTACTTCAGAAATTAACAAATAGCAGAACAATTGGGACAGCTGTGTGGGAGAATAATTTTTACCCGGACTGGTTTTGCATTTTGAGGTTCAGGAAAGTGCTGCTGAGAACCCAAAGGCTGCTGTGTGGCATCAAGCAGAGGCGTTTGTGCAGGAAATTGTTTCACAGAGCAGCCCTACCCCATCATAAACAAAGCAGCAGCCACAGCCAGCTTCACACTTGGCTACTGTGTAGCTTTTTTAATTGCAAGATTGAGATTGAAATTTGCTGGTATAGAACCATAGAACCTTTCCCACTGAATTACACCAGTCCTGGCAGCTAGCACACAAGACTACTTCTGATTCCTGCCAGAATGCTTTGCCTCTGACCACACAGCCCGCCCAGGACTGTCAGAATTTAACTGCAATGGCTCACCGGCAACTGCCTGCCTGCCTGCAGGGTCCAGCTGACTTCCCATTACTAGGCTCCCTCACTCCATGTCTGGCAGCCCTAGCCTCTCTCCCCTACTAGCTTCCCCACTTCTCTCCCTTTGCACAGGCAGGACAATAGCATGGGTTTTGGACTGACAGATTATGTGGCTTCTGCACTCACTGGCAGAGCAACTTAGACAAATGTCAGGGCCTCTGTTTGATCAGGGTTACCTCTGCCTGGAGTCCCCTTAGAGGTCCAAATGGTCAGTGTGTTTGGCTGTTAGCCAAAGGTGGGTGGCTCCAGTTCAGCCAGAGGCACTTAAAAAAAGAAAGAACTGGCAATGTATTGGTTTGATAATTCAACAGAGTGCAGTCCACACCAACAGCCCAAAGCCACAGGAGATGACATTGGCTTGGCAGCTGGTTGACCTCTACCTGCTTCACTGGGCTGAAAGGGAGGGAGACACTCACAGCAGACCAGTGACACAGGGTAGCTGGTATCCCAGCCCTCCCTCTCTAGTAAGGATGGTGTTTCCTGAGTGGTTTACTCAGGCACATGTGGTTTAACTCTTTTTGTTTAGGATTTTTTTTAAAAAAATTATTATGATTTTAGTGAAAATTTACAGAAAGGGTGGGTATTCATTCATTCAATGATACACATTTTCTTCCCTCCCCCAGCCCATTTTGTAATACAAATCTTGTTCCAAATTGTTAATGAAGGCAGTTGTATACACACCCATGTTTATCACAGCATTATCATGATAGAGAAGAGATGGAAGCAGCCCAAGTGCCCATCAAAAAACAAAAGAGGGGAGGCCTGGAAGAGGGAACAGACTGCCTCCCTTGGATGTAGCTAAACCCACCCCTTCCCTCCACCCCACCTCTGAAAAAAAATGAATTATTACTGATATGCAAAATCCTGTCAAGACATTACCTGCAATTACTACAAGATTAAAGGAAATGACCAGCTACAGAAAACAGAAAAATTTGGGGGAAAACACTGCTGTCTAGATACATCACAAGGGACACCTTAAGCTGGAGCAGAAGGTACCAGGACACCTCGAGGCAGGTAGAGAAGCCATTACTGAAAGGGAACAACAGGCTTCCTGGTATGACATTCGGATACTTTGGGGGAAACTCTGTTGTTTAGCTACATCACATGGGAAGATTTAAGCTCAAGTGGAAGAGTACAGGACAGCTTGAACTGGGCATAGACACCATTTCTGGAAGGGAACAGCAGGTCTCCTGGTTTGGCATGCAAGTACTCTAGGGGAAACACTGCTGTCCAGCTACTCAATGTGGGATATCCTAAGCTCAAGTGGAAGGTACAGGACAGCTCGAACTGGGCATAGATACCATTTCTGGAAGAAAACAACAGGATTCCTGGTTTGGCATTGAGGTACTCTGGGAAAATCACTGCTGTCTAGCTACACCACACAGGATAACTTAAGTTCAGTGAAAGGGTACAGGACAGCTGAAAGGGCATACACACCATTTCTGGAAAGGAACAACAGGTTTCCTGGTATGGCATTCAGGTTCTCTGCAAGATATGCTGCTGTCTAGCTACACCAGGTGGTCTCTTTTAAGCTCAAGTGAAACAATACAGGACAACTTAAGCTAGGAATAGATACCATTTCTGGAAGGTAATAATAGGCTTCCTAGTATGGCATTCAGATACTTTGGTGCAAATACTGCTATGTAACTACAACATGCTGAGCCTTGTAAGCTCAAGTAAAAGAGTACAGGATAGTTCAAACTGGGCATAGACACCATTTCTGGAAGAGACAACAGACTTTCTGGTTTGACACTCAGGTACTTTGGTGGAAACTTTGCTGTCTGCTGAAGTCAACGGATACAGGACAACTCAAAATGTGTAGATGCCATTTCTGGCAGGGAACAACAGGCTTCCTGGTTTGGCATTTAGGTTCTCTGGGGAAAACACTTCTGTCTAAGAAGTGGTTCCACATGGACCCACACGTCTAAGAGGTCCCACATGGGACCTCTTAAACTTAAGTGGAAGGATACATAATAACTCGAACTGGGTGTGGATATTATTTCTGGAAGCAAACAATAGGCTTCCTGCTTTGGCCTGCTGGAACTCTGAATGAAACACTTCTATCTAGCTACACCACACTGGACCTATGTAGTTCAAGTAAAAGAAAACAATACAGTTTCATCTGGGCCTGGAAACCATTTCTGGAAGGGAAAAACAAGCTTCCTAGCTTGGCATTCATTTACTTCGGGAAAAACGCTGCTGTCTAGCTACACCACATGGGACCTCTTAACCTCAAGTGGAAGGGTACATGACAACTCCAACTGGCTGTAGATGCCATTTATGGAAGAAAACAACAGTCTTCCTTCCTAGTTTGGCATTCAGGTATCTTGTGGGAAGCACTGCTGC